GTTCGATCCTCAGCACCACATACAAACAAAGATGTTGTGTCCACTGAAAAACTAAAAAACAAATATTAAAAAATTCTCTCTCTCTCTCTCTCTTAAAAAAAAAAAAAGATCTAGAGTGCATCAAAATTTTCTTGGCAATACACCATTAGTAATAAAGAGACCATAAATGGCAAGTTTCCCTGTTCCTATTTCAGTTCAACAGGCTCAGAGGTGGGTATGTGGCTCAGGAAACGTTGCCTCACCCCCTCTGGCCTCCTGTAATCCTTTAAATGACACCATTCCTTGGCATTCCTTTCCTGACACCTGCTTTAAATCCCTCACTTTGCATTGCCATTGGACTTTCAGATTCCCCCCCCCATATCTTTGACCTCTTTATCTAAGGATGTGACTTTCCACTGACCTTTGGCCTAGGGGTCAGCAGTTAAGCTGCCCATTCTCCAAACCCCTTTCATCTTCTGCCTTTTTAAGAACAATGCCAGTTGTGCATAATTTATACTGTTTTTGGCCATCTCAAGCCATTCTTAGGTGATGAAATTTCATAAGGCAGGTGCTAGAGATTTCTTGAATGGAAATTATGAAAAACAAACTTTTAAGAACATTATAGACTTTGGGTTTCTCAGGAAAATTCATCCAGTTCAAGCTTCATTTTAATGCCATTTTTTTTAAGGAGGCCAAAAAATACTGTTAATAGAACCAGCCTTGGTATAGTTTTCACATTTTGAAAGTGGGGACCATTTGCAGGGCTATGGTAAGGATTAAGTGTTAGAAACTGTCTGTCCTCAAGTAGATTTTAGCTTTTTAGGAGGAAAATAAATATACAGAGATGTCTATAACACAAGGCAGAGGAAATAAGGGTAAGGAGTTGTAATGCCAGATTCATGGGACCCCAATAGACCTCCAGGAGCTGAATCTGATGCAATCACACAAAAGTCTTTATTGTAAGCTTGAGCCTGGACTTACATGCAGGAGTCCTGAGGAGTAAGCCCGGGCCCTTAGTCCAGTGAGGTTTTTTGGGGGATACTCCATGCATCACAACATTACACAGTAAATCATTTCACACCACGGGAAAAATCAAACAACAACTCTTAACATTGGTTAGCACATTCACTGGCGGGAACAAGTTGGGTAAGGGTGGTTGGTGAGTTCAAGAGGTGGATACATTTGAACTGATTGGTTTAAGCCATGAGGGGGTGTACGTGCTAAACTACAGGTTTCCTAACATGTTATCAATCACAGAAACTACTGGGAGGTTCACCTGGCATTTCAGGTATTTTCCCTGTCTCACGCTGATTGGTGGTTGCTCATCTAGTGTAACTGAGTCAGGGACACCTGGTGTCACAGATCTCTCCTGTTATTTACAGACAAACAACTAAGCAAGGTGGGTATGTGCCTAGGAGTGCTCTGTGGGTTTTTCCAAGGACAAGGGTCATGCCCCCTCCCTCTGGACAGGCCTTGAAGTAGAAGCTGGTTTCTCAAAAATGGAGTCACATCAGTTTCTCAATGTCAGATAAGAGCATTCTAAGGAAAGAGAGAAGAGCTTGAATAGTAGACATCTAGGAGGACTTCACATAAGATACAGTATTTAAGAGAATTGGTACAAGTAGGGGGGTGAGCAGGAGTGAGGATGGAAACATTTATCCAAGCATTTGGAATCATAAGAGTAAAGTCAAAAGTTGAAAATGGGGGCATGTTGTGTATTATCAAGTGGGCACACGCAACACACGTAGGGATTGTGAAAGGACAGGGGAAGGTATACTATGGCTGCTCAGGTCTGGTTTGCAGGGGTGTGGCGTTTGTCTCAGTCTGAAGGTTTGGTAGCCAGGAAATGAGCTGAGCATGGTTGTGATTTGAGAAGTTAGGAAGCCTTGTGAAAGGTGAGGTGATGTAGGCAGGGGTGAGAGAGAGGAAGGGATGCCAGCTGATGCTGGATTTTTTTTCCTAGACTAAAGAGAATGGGACTGCTGTTGTCAAATCCAGGCCAGTGACTGTAAAGATGGAGAGAGAGGATGGATATGCTTATTAAAAAGGAAAGAACAATTTCTTTTCTTAAATAATTTATTTGCAATAAATTAACAATTAAATAGCAAATTATAATCAATGGTTAAGAACTCAAAAGATGCATCAACTAATAGAAATCTTTGGTTGATACATCTACTCACATATCACAAAGCACAATAATGCCAATTCAATAGAAAGTCATATGAAGAAGATTTCTGAATGCTTTTGAAAAAAGATGAGTATAATGATAAGGCGCTTGTTGATTTTGAAACTCTATATATTTGGTAGCTGGACAGGGCTGTGGAAAAGCTGGATGCGGGGCCACGAGACCTGGCTCTTTGCCCTGGGTTTCCAGTAACAGTCCATGTGACCTTTGAAAAGTCATTTCAAAAACCTTTGGACCTGTTTTCTCCCCTGTAAAATGAAGGAATAGAATTAATCAAGCACACGGTCTATTTATATAGACCACTGGGCCTGTTTCTGAAGTTTCCAGTGTTATCCATAGCATACCAAACATTTACTTTCATTCAAATAATAGAGATGCACAGGTTAGACAATTTGTCTAAACTGTTTTTTTGTGCTCAAATGACTCTTAAAGGGGTCATCCAGGGACCTACCATGTGTTTGAACCATAATTTCTTATTGCTGCAATTATCAACCCTTAAGTGTAGACACCAAAGAAAGCACTAGAATGATTTTTTAATTAGGTTTCGTTCTCATGGATACCTTATCAAGGTTTTGGCCCACATGTAATTATAATTCTTTTTTTTGTGGGGGGGGGGGGCGGTACCAGGGATGGAACTCAGGGGCACTCAGCCACTCAGCCACATCCCTAGCCCTATTTTGTATTTTATTAGAGATAGGGTCTCACTTGAGTTGCTTAGCACCTCGCTTTTGTTGAGTCTGGCTATGAACTCACAATCCTCCTGCCTCAGCCTCCTGAGGGATTACAGGCATGCACCACCTGCTGGGATTACAGGCATGCACCACCATGCCCAGCTATAATTTTTTTTTGACAGATACTTTAATATAATACAATTTATATACAAAAATCCAAGCTGATAAAATGAATATTTTAAGAAATGGATTACACAGAGTAAGGTGTATTCATTTATCAAAGGATTTGCTGCAGAAAATCCTTAACAACCCCCCTCATGTAATAACTCAACCTCCTAATGTCTTTGCAGAATCTGTTACATTTCAGTGGAAAGACCCTCTTTGTCCACATAGCCTACAGCTCAGCAGTGGGAAAGTGAACTCATTCTGGGTAGAGGAACAAAATCCTATATTCAGGCACAGAAGTGCTCTGTGTTTTCCTTATCAATGTGCTAAAATGAAACTAATATAAAAATATGGTTGAAAGTGTTGTTGAGAGATTAGGTAATGCTACTCAATTGATAACTGTCCTCAAAACTTTGAAATCGCCTGGTAACTGGAGGACAAGCTGGAGTTCACCCAAGCTGGTGAGAAAGAAATGCACATTTGGGGGAAAGTCCCCTGTTCCTGCTTGTGTGTTTCCCTGAACTGTACTGGAAATGTGCAGAAGTTTACCAAATGCAGGTTAAATAAAGAATCTAGAAGGAAACCTTACTGGTTCAAATAGACCCACTGGGCTATAAGTACTAAGTCTATATAGATCTAATAACATGTTGACCTTGCTACTTTGGGAAAATGAGATTGCTGAGAGACTCACCCAGATTTCTTTTTGTTGTCAAACCAAGAAGGCCTATTTCAACCTTTCATTTACAAAATTCTTTCTAGAGTGGCAGAAAGTTCAAATTCCTTTATTGTGTATACACTGAAAATTCCTAACCTCAAATCCATAGATTTCTTACCCCTGGTTCAAAAGACTTTAAAACCAATCCATGGACTAGAATTTTGGGGAAATAAAAAGTTCCAGAGATAATCCAATGACACTGTTTACATTTCTGGCCTCAACCACAGGATTTAATCTTTGAATCCAAGTGTCATCAGGTTCAGGATGACACGCAGTGATGAGTTCTATAAAATCGACACTATTTCATTGACCTGGGTACCACACCCACCCCCCAGCATAAGACTAAGCTAATGCTCCAAAGCAAAGAAGGCAAAGTACAAATTCATTTGTTCATCAGAGTCTGGCATCACATTTCTATTGTTTACTCTAAATGTTTTGTTTAAACTAACCTCTGTTAAATGAGTCATTAAATGGTAATGTTTGGATTTTCATAATTTCAATAGAATTTCATGGTTCTTAAGTCAGCAGGAACTCGGGCTGAATTAAAAGTTTTAATACCTGACTTGTGAAATAAAGGGTTTACTAATTTATTTTAGCCAACTTTTTTTTTTTTTTAAATAAGAAAACTATGAACTCAACTCATAAATTATCAGGTCCTCCTGCTTTCATAGATAAACCCACTGTTTAACTTTAGAGATATCATATGTATAAATGGCTCAATATAAGTAAAACTCACATTTCTATAGTATTTAAAGGATACACTCTTCCATATCTATGCAATCTTCACTCCTCAGGGAGTTTTTTTCCATGTCTCCCAAGATGATTCTTCAGGGGCTTTCTTTTCATACACCAATCTTAAAATTTATTTTGTTTGTCCTTGACCAAATACGTCTCATTCTTCAAAAACAAGTTTTTAAATATGTTGTGAGGGAAACATATTCTGCTCATTCATCTGAGATCCATGATGAGAAAACTTCTTTCTTATTACTGAATACATTGAGTAAAACAGGGATTTTTAAATCCATGATTTTTTTTTTTTTTTTGCAAACATCTTATACAGAACCTGAATTTGTAAAACAGACAGAAGGCAGGGTTTGGCCTGAAGTCCTGGAGGCGATGGACTCCAGGGAAACATTCCTGTGGCCTCCTTTCAGCTCCCTGCAGCTCTGTCAGCCACCTCCCATGAGGCTCAATACATGCCTCACAAGTCACTCATCCAGTCCACTCTGGAACATGCATAAGGCTGTTCACAGCGGTGACTTCTGACAAGTGCTGCCTGGGTGATGACAGCTGAAGCCATACTATGGAAGGTGGTGGTCTGGGTTAGGTGAAGAAACACAGTAATCATCAAGGAGACTCCTGTTCTCCAGGCCGGGCAGGTGGGGTCCTTGGGGGAAGAGCCCCAGAAGGTTTCCCTGAGCAGCCACTCCTGCTTGCTGTAGGCTTTGCTCCCCCAAGACCTTGACCAAGAAGTTGATATACCTCATTGCCAGGCGAAGTGTTTCATTTTTGCTCAGCTTTTTGTCTGGAGGGTGAGTGGGAATGAGCTTCCTCAGCTTAGCAAAGGCACTGTTGACATTTTGCTGCCTCCACCGCTCCCTGGTATTTGTGAAGATCTTCCTGGTCATGGCTGAGTTCCTGAGATGGGAAAGAGAAAAGGTGCTGTGAGCAGATACCTTGTAAGAGGACTGGTGGGTATCACATGTCCTGCCAAAAACCTACCATGTTAGATCTTCTCCACTTAGATATCGGGAAGTTCATTTTCTTATTTTTAGGTTTTTAGAATGTCCTTTTTTTTGTACTGGAAATTGAACCCAGAGGCACTTTAACACTAAGCTACATCTCTAGTGATGTCTCACACCAAGTTGCTTAGGGACTTGCAAAGTTGCTGAGGCTGGCCTAGAACTTGTAATCCTCCTGCTTTCTGAGTCACTAGGATTATAGGCATGCACCACTATACCCGGCTAGAATCTTCCTTTTAATATGAGAAGAAAGGGCAGGGAAAGAACAATGTCCTTCATACTTTTTCTGTCTGTCTGATTTGAAGCCCCCAATTAAAAGATTGCTTTATTCCAGTACTCCCTTAGTCCCTTTGCTTCCTTTATAACAAACTCTTCTTAATTATCAGTCAGGCATAGTATAGGATTGAGTACACATGTGAATATAATATATTTGTGTATATACATATATGTATATCTGTATCTGTACATTCATAATACACAGTTGATTTATGCCCAACACTCTCTCTATATAGTATAGTTACTGTATAATATACTATATTACATATTTATATTATATAGCATACTGTATATACATATATAAATCCTAGAGAGTTGGGTATGAATCAACTGTGTATTATGAATTTTTTGCAAGAAAGAAAGAGTTATGATCTCTGATTTTGTAAATATATTGAAATATGGACTGGAGAAGATAGGATAGCTCTCCTGCTAGTAGCAGACCTCACCGAGAGAATTTGGCTTCACTCTGCAAGAGCTAAAATGTTGAAACTGCATTACATTTGGAGAAGAGCAGAGTGAGGAAGGGCCTCGACACCCTGTTGTATGAAGAACAGAAGTGAGGATGTTTAGCATGACAACAATGAAACGACAAGAGGCAGGTAAGGATGACCTTTTGGCACACGTGCTATAGAAGACACCTGGGCTTCTTGGATGACCTTTCCAACAGTAGGAGAGTTGTTTATCATCATATGCTGCCAAATCTTATTTTGTCACCATTAACCCTTAGCAGTGTGGGCCCCCTTTTTCCAGGTGGCTTGGATTAACATGTATTAATGGGAACTTTCAGCATACATTGGCAAACAAGCCAAAGTCCAGCCTCAAGCAGTTGAGTGCTCCTGGCTCACTGCTATCAGCCTTCAGCCTCAGCTCCCCTGAGCATTGGGCCTCCTCTTATTCTTCCAAAGGAAAATATATATTGCTAACTCTATCCTTTTACACATGTCATTTTCTCTTCCATGAATTCTCTCCCCATACTCTCCTTAGCTATTTCTACACATTCTTTAAATAGATGCTCTGTTCTTCCCTTTCTACCAAGGCCTGACTATATAGGAGTCTTCAGGCAGAGTACAATACTCTCTCCAGATGCTGGGCAGTGACACTGGACTGTAGCTACCTGTAGCCTCACTATCACTAGGACAAACAACCCATGCTCTACAGTGTAAAGTACTGTGTTGGCAGAATTTTTTTAGATATTAAGTGTTTAATAAATGGCATGAGATATTTGACACTTTATTATAAAACAGGCTTTTCATGGATGTGGCTCAGTGGTAGAGTGCTTGCCAAGCATTAATGAAGCCCTATGTTTGATCCCTAGCACTGAAAAAAAAAAAATGCTTTGCATTAGATGATTTTGCCAACTGTAGGCTAATGTAATTATTCTGAGCATGTTTAACGTACAGGCTAAGTGGCTAAGTTATGTTTGCTAAGATAGGTATATTAAATGCATTTTCAATTTACAATTTACAATAAGGTTTATCAAGATATAATCCCATTGTAAGTTGAGAAACAGCTGTATGGTACCTTAGCAGCTGGCTGCCTGTGTTGAGATGAGAGAAGGAAACATAGGCTCTGTAGGACAGAAACAACACCTAACTAGGCACTCTAGTGGGCTTTCAGGCAGCCCGTGTCTTCTAAAACTGATGGGCCGGGGTGCGGGGGGAACCTGGTGATCCCCAAGGTCTCTTTCTGTTCTGAAATACCACAATGTATAATGCCCATTACCTTTTGTCTAACCTAAGTAGTTCTGAACATTCCAGTCTTTGGTTTTACAATAAAAATATGAGTGTTGTCAGAACTATACGATGACTATACTTAAAACAGGAAAGTTTGAACCCAAATCAAGGGAATTTTAAGATAGAAAGAAAACTATCAAGTTTTGTTCATACTGAAACTGACCAGGACTGTGGAGCAAAGTTACTTTCTAGCTTCTCTTGTGCAAAGAGTTTAGCTCATTCACGGAGTCAACTCTAATTCCATGGGGGGTCTTCTTTCAAGCTGGGAGGAAAAAAGATTAGCCAGGATAAACTGACTGCGGTGTTCTCTTCTAAGTGTGTGAGATCCTATTGTACTAGAAGCAGACAGAAGAAATAGAAAGAAGAGAAGACAGGCTTCTAAAATGCAGCCTGCCATCCTAGGGGTGCTTGATAATTACTTGTTGATTTATCCTCAAGTGTATTACTCTCCTTCTCCACAGGGGAAATAGAAATCAGTGATTTAACAAGCTCGAAAATCTCAAAGTAGAGGTCACTGGAAAATTACTGAAGTACTTTTTAAATCAAAGGAAAATTGCATTTAGTGTTTTTCCAGTTGCAAGGACTGATTGCTGCTAATCTTGATTTCAGAGTAATGTAAGAGCTAAAATACACACACACACACACACACACACACACACACAGCCCAGATGCCACAGAATCAGAGAACATTTCACAGATGCTGAAACAAGGGTGAGTATTTAGGTCACACAGGGAATCAATGGCAGGGCCCCGAAGTCCAAGCCTGGGTATTCATACATTGTGTCACCACTGAGGACTCCCACTAAGGTTCACAACCTTGTTTTGTTCCATGGACCTTTCTGGCAGTCTGGGGAAGCTTAAGGACACAATTCTCTCAGAACAATTATTTTAAACATATAAAATATAAAGTCTTCAGCTCCCTTCTCAGAATAGTGATTTTAAATGTACATAGAAAATAGTTATGCTTAGTAGTTATGAAAATACAATTAAAATGAATATGATAATATATGTGCTTCATTTTAACACTTAAATAACTAGACTTACTACCATAATTTCTAAGAAATATGTTTATAAATATTTGTCTAAAGATCTGCCACATTTGTGATGTGAGATGCAACTATCTATGATTCTATTGGTGACAAATTCTTTATACTACATTGTCTCAATATAATACTGTATTACTCTATTGCATTTTAAATTATAATATTTTAATAACTTCTAAGTATAATTGGTTATTTTTGTCTATGTATTTTTAACTTATGAATTTAAAATTGTTATTTTTGAGAAGGGAACCAAAAGTTTTTTACTTTCTTTATTTAAAACCATGCTGGGGGGGCTGGGGATGTGGCTCAAGCAGTAGCGTGCTCCCCTGGCATGCGTACGGCTGGGGTTCGATCCTCAGCACCACATACAAACAAAGATGTTGTGTCTCGCCGAAAACTGAAAAATAAATATTGAAGAATTCTCTCTCTCTCTCTCTCTCTCTCACTCTCTCTCTCACTCTTTCTTAAAAATAAAATGAAACCATGCCGGGGAGCTGGGGATATAGTTCAGTTGGTGAGTGCTTGCCTTGCATGCACAAGGCCCTAGGTTCAATCCCCCACACAGCAAAAAAAATAAAACCATGTTAATAGCTGGGCACGGTGGGACATGCCTATAATCCCAGCGGCTCAGGAGGCTGAGGCAAGAGGATCACGGGTTCAAAGCCAGCCTCAGCAAAAGCAAGGCTTACTAAGCAAATCAGTGAGAACTTGTCTCTAAATAAAATACAAAATAGGACTAGGGATGTGGCTCAGTGGCCAAGTGTCCCTGAGTTCAATCCCCGGTATCCCAATAAATAAATTAACAAATAAATAAAAGTAAAACCATGCTAATACTATTGTACTCTATTACCCATATCCATAAATAAAGGAAATGCTATATATAAAGGTTAATGGAAATAAAGATATAATTTTTCCCATCCAAATTCACAGAACCCCTGAATTCTTCTATCTATATCTCTCTGGGTGGGTAGGGGTTGTGGACCCCAGTTAAGAATGCGTGGACTGGAGGAATGTTATGACAAACACTATGAAAATAGATGTGTACAAACTATACCATCACCACTCAAGGGAACACATTACTGGAGAAAAGAGTGACAATTACACCTCCAGAGACAAATGCCATCAACAGGAGCTGCTGCTCCTTGGTGCCAGGTTTCTGGACAAAAAGCCCAGGTCAACTAGAAAGGATGCAGGAAGAGTCAGCAGCTCACATTTGTATGAGGTCCTGTTCCAAGCTTTTCATATGACTTTCGATTTCTTTTACTACATTTGTTGGGTGTATTTGTCTCTTTTTTCATCTTTCTCTTTCTCTTGAAAGTAAGTGAAAACACTGGCCAGGAAGAAAGAGATGAAGGGTGGTTTGTTAGGTGAAAGAGAGGTGCCTCAACTCCAACACTAGGCACAGTTCTGCCTTTTGTAGAAGTAATGCATGCATATTTAAGCAAACAGTCCAAGTACACAAGTGCATGAAGTAAAACATAAAAGGCTCCCTACCTGCTTACCTAAATAATACGTCTCACTCCCTAGCCACAGCCAGTTTAATGTACATATTTCATGCACACTACACATACACACACATTTTTAAAAATCACTATTCATACCATATTTAATTCATACCTTACTTAATAAGAAACTTCACATGAAATACTGAATCAGTACACATATCATGAACATTGCTCATTGGGAAGAGCCCTAAAGCAGACAGGCTTAGCCAAGGCTATGCACTGGGGGAGCCGCCAGTTCAAAGGTGCACTCTACACCTGTGCCTTGCAGCTCTGATAGACCTAAAGTAGCCTACCCTGCTCTTCCCGCCCAGCCTGCTGCCCTTGGACACTTCATTTCCTGGCTTTTCTTTTCTTT